GGACGATTTTTTATTTCAATAAATCCTAGAGATATCAAAAGGACGATATAATGGCAAAACAGTGATATGACAGTTAACATGCTGCAATCAAAGTATATCATTAAGAGTGTCGACAATAGTATCACATAAACTACTTTGAAAAATTTTCCATTAATGATCCTACCGCCTACCAAGAGTTTTCATTCTCCTATTTTATTCTTCGATTTATATAAATAAACAAGTCATGCCCTTGTCCTTCTTTATCCACTAGCTGCTTTCCTCTCGATGAACATTTATATATGTTGATCAGCAAGAAAAAGGAGAAGAAAGATTAAGAAAGAAGTGAGCATAAAAAAATAGAACCACGACGAGAGTATTTATGGTATATGTGATATGACGGAAAGACATGTGCAGATGTAACAGCATTTCTCACCACATTGATATTATTATTACAATACACTTAAATCCTACACTGATACGCAGCATGAAACTTTGCGCCAGAACCCAGGCAGGTAAATGACTGGCTAGAAGCTGTTTTGCTTCACCCTGCGATATCGATGGTAAAGCTGAGACTTTTGCCGGTAAATTCAGCACATTAATACATTATCTCAAGACTGTCAGTCTCCATCTCACAGATTCCTCAAGATTCCGAAAGTCAAATACGATTATCCAAAAAGATTACACATTTTGTTGTGATCATAAAATTTTCCCTTGATCCGAAAATATTAGTCATTATTCAAAAGAAATTCGTAGTTAACCGGATACACTAATCAATTTTCAATAAATCTGTTTGGTATCCTTCTAATATTTTTCTTTCTGAACTGAAAGATTTCACCATAAGCTGGTAATATTCGTGAGTAGACTGAATTTTTTGGCTCTATTTTCATACGCTTCTCTTTCATTTGCAAGGCTTTTATGGCTACCAGGCCGGCTCTGGGGAATCTTTTCTCTTCCTCTTGTCAATATACCTTTAAACGGAACGCTGTCGCCGTTAACTACAAACGTTTGGAGATAAAGTGCAAATTATCTGGAGCTCTCAACACACCATTCGATCCCCTAAATTTTCGCTGTCTTCTTAAATCCTTTTCGGTGATTCGAAACCTTTCACCGTTCGTAATAGACGTTTTTCGAAGACTGCAATTTTTTTGCCAGTAGTTTCACACACTACAGACTGCTAAGCAATCTTGCTCTTCCTTTCATAGATTCTTGTGAGATTGGGAAGCTTGCATCGCCATATAGAAAGATGGGTTCACGCCCTGAAATTCTTATTTACACACAAAGTTAACAATTTTGGCCATGTTCTTTTACAGATGGTCTCATTCAAATCGCAATGACATCATATGAATATTAAGTTCTTATTTCTTTAATATCTAAGCTTGATGAACAAAGTAGGAGCAAAAAACTGGCAGGCTAATTATGGTATGTATAGACGATATCATGAAATTGAGATAAATGAAAAGATCAAACAAATAGGAGACAGCTCTGAAATAGTGAATGAACGAAATCAATAACTAATATACAACGACAAATTGATTGGTTTAAGTAAAGTCAATCATGGGTGCCAGTTTCATATCTATCCCAATCATTTTCTAATATTTGCGGTGTCTTGTAGCTAACTATACATCGATCAAAATGATTTCTTTTGTTTTTCGAATCTTTCTAATATTTTACTCACTACGATCAAGTTATTGAAGTCACACCGTTTTCGGTAATATTAATGATGTGTTGCTGTTGTTGCTGAGAAGTTTTTGCGTCCTTCACCGTTTGCTGCGTTTCTTCAAATGATTCATTTCTTATTATTACAATATGACATAGATTTCTGTTTCGTTTCTGTATGCTGTGACCCCTTTTATTTTTTTTTCAATTTCTTTTGAAAGAGGCACTCTATTGAGAAGCACTGCACGTGATAAGAGTAGAGCATTTACGAGAAGATTCGATAAAGAGTAATGGCAAGCAAGAAAAAAAAAACTTGTTGAATAAAATTCATGTCAACTTTAGTGTACAAATTGATATTGCTTACTGTGTATAATCTGAGATGATTCGAATCGTTCGAAATGAAACTACGACGCACAATGAAGCATTTGATTGCATCCCTTTCAAATAGGTCGATTTGTTACAGTTAACAGAGAGTCACTATTCTGAATTAGTTTTTATATTTTATTTTATACTAAAATCAATAAAACTTATATTATGGGTGCCATACTATCGATATACGATATTACCATTCGATAGAGAGTTGAATTCTATATTCAGTACAGCAAATTACAGACTCAAAAAAATACTAAGACAAAGATCAACTAGAAATACTCTAATTCACTTTTAACTATCCTTATGAACACATAATAATGCGATAACTAACACAACGGAAGATCAATCGAAAGATGTTGTTCTATCTTACATTTATATGATAAATCCAACCAATCATCCGATAGGCATTTCGAAACATTGATTTAAGGTTACCGTGGGCGTTAAAATTTCAAACATGAACTTCGGTTTTTCACTTTCCGATAGGTTTAGGACTAGGTGATCAGACAACAAAACGCTGAGTTTTTGAATCGCCCATAGATTTTTACCGAGGGAATAATAATTTGATCAAGATTAAAAAGGATTTTTTCCTGTAGATTGATCATTCTCGAATCGTCGAGACTTATGAAATAAAAGTGAAGGATGAGATTCGAATATGGATACTTACGATTAACATTCGTCGAACATCGAGACTAAATATGAACTATTATTCTTCTATAAAAGTTATCTTTTCAACTCTTAGAAGGATGGTAATTTCAAAATTGTTATTTTAAGCCAGTCCTCTCTCAAAAATCGATCTCAGACCAGGTATATTGAAATCAGATGAAATTTTCAGCCCTGTTCTATGACGATTGATGGGGATATCCACCAAACAAGAGTAAAAACAATAGCTCATTTCTTCTCCAAAAATTCTTTGCGGTTTTCATTTCATATATTGAATCTTTTTTTTTTGAAAGAGCATGTCAACATGCTGCTACTATCAGGATCCGTCTTTAAAAACTTTCATCTTTCGAGCGAAGAAAAAGATTGGCAAATTCAATTAGTAAAAAAATTCTCAAAAAAAGCAGCGCTCTAATTGGAAAAGTGCTTTGCAATATAAGAATAACAAAGCCTCATTCAAAAAAAACGGATTCTCATTGGCACAGTATTTGTACACGCACTTTGAAACAAAAATAAAATTATTGGCTACAATGAAGTTCCTCGAAGAATCCTTGGAGACGCAACCGAAAACATATAAAACGGGAAAACAATAAAAAAGATTTTTGATTTTTTCCAAAAAATAGCTTTTGTTTCTAATAGGAAATAAGGGAAATGTTCAAAAATTTTTGGAAAAAACGAGATGCTGAGTAAAAATTTGTGTTGTTCGTGAAAGACCAGACCAAAGGGTATTTGCTTCTGCATTTACCTTAATTTCGATCATCTTGGCAAAAATTGACTTTTTTTTAAGGAGGGTTAATATTTGCTAACAGTTTTCGAAAATTAAAAATAGAATGATAACTTCTTTCGTGTTTCTCTAACCACATAAAATGCTTTGTTTTTTGAGTCTCAAATGTCATATAAGGAGCTTATTTGATAAATACGGCATTTGATAAATAATCGCTATGTGTAATAAAGATAAAACACCTTAGTATGTTAGTTGAATGAAAGAGACGTAAGTAAATCACTTTTTGAAAAAATTTCACGAAATCAATATTAGCCTCACCACTTGAAACTTGTTTTCTTCTTGGTTTGTTTCTCCTGAAGCACTGACTATTATGCTTTCGATATGTTTCTTTTTTCAAGTACTCGAAACTTTGATGAGTATCGAGAGCTCTAAAAATGCTTGAGGAATCGAGAATGAATGTTTGATAGCATACAATTTTGGAGTGATCGGAATCCAATGGCTGTCGAGGGCTCGAAATCAGAACACACGAAGCAAAAAATGCATATTAAAAGTTTTCAAGCGCTCGACCTATCCATCTTATGATTTTTAAAGTCTGCTTGAGAATAGTTGGCATATTTGGTTGTTTACTCGCATAGTGAATCTCTATTCAAGATAATTGACTTATGTCGGAACGAAACTCACTGATGATAGAAGTTGAAGATATTTCTTTAGTCGATTGATTGTTGCCATTATATCTAAAAACCTGTGTAAAAATAGAACAACGACAATATTTGATTCAAGAAAAAAAACATTGCTTCCATATTGTTCAAGAACCGTATCAACATAATCTTTATATTTTCTTTCTCATTAAAAGTTAATCGATGAGACTCATAATCACAATCTTATTGTGCTTTCATTATGCTTAAAGAAAGTACTATTGTTGTTATGACTTCTGTTGGATTTGACCATTCATTGCACTCACATTGACTAACATTTTCTGTGTTAATACTCTCTAGCATAATGATTTGATAAATACCAGTATTTTCATTATGTGAGCCAATAAGATTAGGTTCATTGGATTGCTGCAGCATGTGCAATATATGATGGATTTTAGAACAATGGCCAAAGTTACGAACTAATGCTTCAAGATTGATAAAAATCGCAGTTATCATCTTGTTTGGTACTGGTGTTATCAATCTATTCATGATATGTTCTCCTATGTTTGTTAGACAAAATTTCATCGAATGGATGATCTACTTCAATAAAAAAAAATGATTAATATAATTTTATTTTCTCTTTATATCTATCAATATTTTCAAAATTAATACTACTATGAAGAGCTGTATAACGTGTACAATGCACTTCATACATCTTTTCAACTTGATTTCATTTGATTCATATCGATATTTAGACAATTTTTTGACAATGTCTCATCTTTAATCATATTGATACATATTTTCTCAACATTCATTTCTCCAAAACAGGAGGAAATTCATGACTATTTCAAATATTAACAAAATAGTATGAAGAAGGATTCAATAACTGGTCAAACCATACTATTGATAGTTAATTATAATAAATAGAGATAATGGATCAAAGTGGTAGGATACCATACAAGTTTATGAGATCTTCATGCTTTAGACTATTGTTCTGAATCTATTTCACAATCAGAGAAATCCATCAGATATTTCAGTTCATGCTTCATTTATTAAAAACCGAAAATTTTTTCATTTGTGAAGGATATGGATAATTATATCCATCATTTTAATTTAATTGCAACACATCTCATTCTAACTAAGTTGAATTATCTTTGCAACATTTATTTTCGTATCTATTTTCACTTCACGATTTTCATAAATTAGCCAAAAAAAACTAATCAATTTTTTTCTAAGAATTGAAGAAGAACAGAAGGTAGGAAGAAAGAATGTTATCGGGTAGGCTTGATTAGAAAGTTTGCGCTCTAATATACAATTCAAAATTTATCGACACATGGTGTGAAAAATTGATATTGCTACCAACAATAACATCTTTTTCTCTCGGTTTTCGTAGCTTTCTTAGAATTAATATTTATTATAGCAAGAGCTAGATGTGTCTATGAAACAAAATCATTCTTCACGTAGAATTATAACTATAATTCTTCTCATCTAGCATGATATGAATCCATAAGATACAGGTAACTTTAAATAATTTAGAGTATGGAATATAGAGATACATTTTGAATTGAAGCTCATATTTAAGTAAGAAGTCTTGTTTATTAAAGAATAAAAATAACCGAGAATTTCGCCGTTAGTAATTTTAGAATGAAAAGTGATTAACTATACGTTGCACTACTATTTCAAACTATATTGGTTGTGCAACAGAAGCTGTATTTTAAAAGATGTCAAACACTTTTATTAATTGATTTTATATTGAAACAGTGAACGTAAAACAATAACTTATTGTTTAAATTTCCTTGTTTTGCTAAAACATATCTGCTAAAAATTTTGTTTTTTTGTGTTGAAAGAATTAAACCAATCATAAAGTGTTTATAACAGGATGCTTACTATGATAGATGGTTTAAGTGGCAAATGTTCATTGTAAATAAAATTCCTCTTAAGAAAACTTTTTATCACAACCTGTTTTAGACTGCATTGTAGTAATCGCGTATTTCGTAAAAGCTATTAGATACTTTAATATAAACCGTGTTTTATGTATTGCAATAGCTGAGATATATGACCATCGAGTTGGATACTCATTACGCTATACCAAAGTCACTCAAAATCGACAACTTAGCGATATATGGACAGAGGTGTCGATGTTCCGATTCTTCATTGTCGTCCACATCGATTAGACTCACTTGAAAAAACAGAATAATCATTATCAGAATCCGATGTCAATTTTATTAATAGATTTAATTATGATATAAGAAAATCGTGATTTATTTTGAGACGGCTGCAACAATAGCTTGATTAATCATGCGCACAGTGTCGATCATTGTTTTCACAGCAGCCATTTGTGGGCCATTTTTGGTAGCAAAATTGTTTTTCGTATATCCCCACCAATCCCAACAACCCATTGGATTCAGTGGAAAAAGCAATGAGGAACGAACTTGTGGAAAGATCACAATCAAATTGTTGAGTTCGGCTACTTCCAAATAACCGGCCTTGCGGACAAATACATCGTCGACATAGGCTTTGCCTGTGAGAGAAAAAGAAATTAGATTAATGAAAGAAGAGCCTGTACCGAACTTAACCTTGTTTGCATCCATGTAATGCTACATGGATAGAACACTCCTGTCCTTTGGTACATGCTGATGGAAAATAGACAAAACCTTCATTGTCAAAACTGAGCGAAGATGCACGTGCTTTAGCTGCTTTGCTTCGTACAGGTGCTGTAACACTGGATAGTGTCCAATTAAAAAGACCTGAGGTTGGCCAACTCCAATCAATGGGATTGTACAATGAAATACTGTCTGAGATCCATCGAGATGAAGGATTGTTACCAACAGTCAATAATGGCGGAGGATACATGAATGCTTCTTGATCAAACAATAGCATTTGACCGATGAGTGGAGTTTTGAAACCTGGTACTGGTTTGATCAAATGATTGCCGTGAAGATGATTCAACAAATCATAGGCCAAACTGAAATTACTAAACGCGCAAAACCGCACCAGTCTATTCATTTTCTTACATTGCATGTATGCATTTTATCGATACTTACCAATTGTTAATATAATTATCCAGATTTGGAATAGCACATTTACCACCAAAGGTTTCGGTAGGAAAGCCATGTGTAGCAGGCATATCATAGTTGGTCTTGAGGTTTGCACCTAATGGTAAATAGAGTTTTTCATTCAATTTGACCAAACCAGGAAGAGCTATCGGATCATATTTGCCCGAAAAGATGTAAACTGGGTCATCTTTTATATTAGCTAGGCTATCGATACTGCCAGCTCTTTCATAGGATTTCAGTTGGCGTTCGAGCATTGGTACTGAAACAGACGTAACTGGACCCGTCAGGCATGCAGCAGCTGTCAGGATATTTCCAGCACAATAATAAGGTGGTCCAGCTAGAACACCACAGCCACTGATTTCATTTGAGAATGCAAAGTGCATTTGAGTGGCCATTGACGCACCAGATGAAGCACCTGACACGGTAATAATTGGTTGCGAAAGATTCATCTGAACGCATAACACCACCATTAGAACACCAATAAGAGCAGTAGTGCTGTGCAAAGTCGCCATTCTATTGTTCTCTATTTTGATTTGCTTTCAATTTTGAAATTGCCACTAAAATAAATATGCACAATTATATCGAAAGGGATTTGTAATTGGAGATGAAACAAAACAACGTTTTCAATTTAGTTAAATCACTCTTCTTATTTTAGCTGCGTATAGAGTACAGTATATGAACCGTTTTCATTACTTGGGATGAATAGATGTGTATATCGACTATAGTTGCATTCTGTTTGGATGTGGGTATTAAAGTTTTATCTGCCACCATATTCACACCCATACGCATACTCCACATCTACACTCTCAAGGTTTGACATACAATATGTCTCCAATTAAAATAGCTTCACATTTCTTTTAAGCATTTAGAGTTTTGATTAATTAAAGTAAATGAGTATTTCAACGTATACAAAATTTTAGGTCAAGAGTCAAGTTGAGCATGAGTGTGAGCCTTTTCTCCACATAGCCATGTTCAAAGGAGAAATTTTCGAAGAAAACCAAATAAGAAGTTCATTCGTGACTCATACAGGATTGAGAAGTGTCGACCATCTTTGCCGAATGTCAAAGAATTCATCGTGGTTAACATATTTGTCTTAAATGTTAAGGTGTCGGCAATTCAAACATTCAGTAAAAATGTTTTTTCGAGAAAAATCGATTTTACTAATACCATAACCAATTCAGGCGGTATTCATCGACTTTCGAATTCAAATAAGACTTTTTGTCAAAAACTAAATATAGATTCTGAATCAGCACAAAAAAACTGAGTCAAATGAAATATCTTTCAAGTTAATTTGACAACTTTCAATTTCTGTCAATTTTTCAGGTATCCTCGGAGGACTGAAATTTTTGTATGTGTCAAAAAATGAAAGTTGTCAAATTAACTTGAAAGATATTTCATTTGACTCAGTTTTTTTTGTGCTGATTCAGAATCTATATTTAGTTTTTGACAAAAAGTCTTATTTGAATTCGATTATCGATGAATACCGCCTGAATTGGTTATGATATCAATAAAATCGATTTTTCTCGACAAAGAGAAGGAAAGGAAAAAAAACGATGCATACCTTTTTGCCTAGTCATATAATGAATCAAATGAAATCAAAAACATTTGGCTACATCACTTCCGTAGAAAAACTAGATAGGTTTATAAAATCGACCTATACGTAGTGTACTCGACGCGATTCGAAGCGCCACCATCAACAGAGTTTTGGGTCTGTAGTCGATTTAACAACTTGTTTATACTCAGTTTTTGATACTGAATCTAAAAAAAAGCATTTTCAGAAGTTGGAAAAAAGTATGAAGCCGAAAATTTTGCACATTTTGAAAAAGATGTTTTTTTTCGAAAAAAACGACTTCTCCCGAGTATTTTGAAGTTTTCGACCGGAAAGAAGCATTTGCTGAGACTAAAAAGTAGTTTTTCATGATCAGCAGCCCAAGCTCTATCAAATAATGTAAAAAAAAGGCAAAAAAAGTTTTACTGAATGTTTGAATTGCCTGCGCTTTATAAACAAGACCAAAAAACCTGAGCGATTTCTTTTGATAATTCGATGTTCAATTAGATTTTCATTTATTATTGGTTTCGGTATAATCGATACCAAATTATTTTCATATTATATTTAAGAACGAGAACGCATAAAATGAATCGGCCTATCTCAAGATTAAAAAATAAAAGTATATATTTGGTTTAAATAAGTTTGTTCAAATATTTGTTCGAGTGAATAGAAATAGTCTCATTTGAAGGAACAGAGCATTCTGCACAAATCAATATATGAACCATTCAGAAATAGTTAACATGAATTGAACTTATTTTAAACAGAGGGTGTTTCTATCGATATTTTAGTTAGGTCATGCAAGTTCAGGCTTCTCAATTGCTTTCACATTGGCTTTATGATGGACTTTACTCTTCAAGAATCAATGCAAGTTTCGATAGGATAAGCGCTAGCTTTGTTTTGTAGTAGTTATTTTATTGGCGCAATTCATTCGAGGACAAACAGTGCCTAAAGTTATTGTTATTTGGATGTGTGTGTGAGTGCGAATGGAAACAATACTCACACTGATATCCGTACTATCACTCTCTAGAATCAAGTATCATCCATTCTCAGAAATGCTTTTTCACAGCTTTTTATAAATCTGCCATTTCGAATAGAAAGGGAAGAACTTTTCTAATTATAAGAGTATTACCGAACAAGTAAAAGAATGTAAATATCTCTTAAACTATTAAAATTTGTTAGAACAAGAAGCTTAATCACCTGTAAAACTACGCTTTTGTGGTATTAAACATCAAAGTAAAAGACGGTTCTACATTTACATCGCTGAAACGACGATATAAAAGGACTTTCATAAATCTCTTTTTTTTCTTTTGTGTTAGTTTTAAATGAATACTCATAGAGATTCTGCCGTAGAATACAAATATAAAATCTTTCTTTGACAATGTCTTTTGTTTTCCATATGAGTTTTTTGAACATACACTACTTATTGGTATGATAGTATTGAGTATATCTAATATTACAAAGTACATTCAGTGTCCTAAAAATCAGACAAAATAGTAATTGAATTTAGGTTTTCCTAGAAGCGTTTTGTACAAATGTATTATTGATGAACAAATACTTGTTCAACAATCAATAATTATGTTCGTTCTAAGATCTATCGAAGCATTCATTTCTGCGAAGTTTACAACCATGCTCGCGACTTGCAGCTCATTGTCAACTGGAAATAGTATTAATCCTATCATAGATGTATTTAGTTAGTTCATTTTCGTTTGATGTAAAATAAATTTTGTTTTGATCATCGTATGTAATTAAAAGTGCTAATTTTTGAATAAATGATGCTCCATTTTCCTGCCTACTACCATAGTAAAAACATATGCTATCGGTAATTTTCGTGTTTCATTACACAATCCATGCAAACACCAAATCCAGAATAGGCTAGTCGAAACACGATTTTGTTATAAACAACATCTAGAAGATGCTCAAAAAGTTTTCTAATGTGATTTTATTCAAGACTGCGTCTACACTTGTGATTGATGAAAACTGTTTAGATGCTCTTTTTATGGTCTAACCGCATTCAGATGCATTTATATTCCGAAAATGATTTTCATCGAAAGTCTTCTAAGAGTATCCAAACGTCTTTCTAATTTCAATCAGCATATGGATGCAGAAAATGTTGTACCGAAGAGACATATTCAAAAATATAACCGTAAACAGAAACATTTGAAAGTTTTTCCCATCTAACCAGTGAATATATGTTTATGATGTGAACACACGTACTGCAACGAAAACTGATCCGTTACATGTATGTAATTCATTCAAACTCCATCTAAGTTTTTCGAAATAGAGACCTATTGTTGACAGGGTGTCTGAAAATGATGAGAAAGTAATTTATGTACAAGAGAGAAAAAAACGAAAATATGCATTTCTGTATAGTTCACTTTTAATTTATTAAACTCTCACGTAAAATCATCTACTATCTGACGATGACGATATTCGAAAAAAGTCTATGATTAGAGAAAAAAAAATAAGGTTCCATTGAGAATACTTAACGCGAGAAGTATTTTGAGCTAGAATAAATCTCGAGTGTATATATACGACTTTTAATGATTGATTCACTTGTTAACTGTCATCACTTCAGCTAATTATTCAGTGCAGTTTCCAGAGAAGACTAAAACTATCATCACAGAATATCAATGCGGGCTAATTTTGAATCGAATGCGAACTAAGATTTATTTTTTAGATTTGATTTGGAATGAAAGCGATGCTATTCGATTTGAAATCGTGTCTATAGACCCAAGAAACCTCTTTCATTTGAGTCATATCGAGACGCGTTTGTTTTGCGTGTTTTCAAAACATATCAACTACGATTCAGACCCATTGTAATTACAAAAGTATTTATACGAGAATAAGGTTAATCTCTTGTATAGATGATCAAAAAAGAAAACTTTTCTTCGTTGATTTAGTACATATTTTCTTCTTGAGTATTATTTACTTTTGATCGATCAATTGCATGAATAATATTCAGCATAAGCTGATGATTTCACAGTATATTGCAATAAAAAGTATGTTGAATTAGTTGAAAGATACCTGATGGCAGATTTTCATATCATGCTCTAGTATACATCGTTATGAAAAATAAAATGACTTTTCATCTGTTACAAGAGTAATCTTACTAACAAAGTATTCTGATTCGAAATTATTTTTATAATTGCAATGATATTATTTCAAATCACAAGTCGAATCTGAATAAGCATTAGTTTTCGATGAAGAATGTTTTTATTATAATCAAAAAAAATTAATGATTAATACCCTTCTTAATGTATATTATGTTTAGAACAAAATTAGGTAGAATTTATGCAGTTCCACTACCATCCTCCGTATGAATAACCAAATCCACTACCAAAACCGCCGTAACCACCATAGCCACCATAGCCACCATATCGTTGAGCCATTGTTGGATTTGGATTTCCACCCATTATATTATCAAGATATGTTCCCAAAGGACCTATATTAAAAGAATTCGTTAAGGCATATTCGTTTTTTTCCAATTGAAACTTTTCTTTTATTTATCATCATTTATTCAAATATAAAAGCCACTGTTCAGATTTATGATAAGAATTCAAATTTCATAACAGATAACGACACAATCTTTGCCAAAACAATGTTTTGAAAATTACAAACGAATCGATTAAAGCTGTTTATTAATGTAGTGGCTATTAAAATTATTCAACAAGGTTTATTTTGAATTAGTTTCACTATCGAAGTAACAATAAAAAGAGTTCAAATAGTGATTCAAATAGAGAAAAACATGCATTATAAGCAGCGTCGTGCCGACCAAGGAGTGCTCAGTAGTGTAACATTTCCTCTATAATTGCAATTTTCTTATTTTGTATAGTTAAATGATCAAATGAACGTTAAAGGGCTGTCTTGATTTTTTTCTGTTTCGAAAACTTTCCTATATCCGTCACTTTTTTTATACGTGCTTATTTCATATAATTCTTTAAGTTAAACTATCTTGTATACGAAAAAAAAGTAGATCGAACAAACAATTAGACTTCTGTTTTTTTTTGTTAGAAACACACTGTATTTTAGAGAACAGATTTTTTTTTGCGTTATCCTCTCTTATATTTGGAAAGGTTGTGGCAACCCTAACTATAAGTATATTTTCGTATATTCTTGTGATGAATATTTTTCTCTATTCGAATCATTATTTAAGTTCTTTTTTGCGCCTAACACAGCAGAAAAAAAATGAAACTAAGTCTTGTTGAATAATTCTGTTAGTCGCGGTACATAAAATCTATTCTAACAATATTAGCAATAACATTTTTACGATCCTTACTATTTAATCCACCAGGAATATTTTGTTCAATCCACATATCAGATGCTAATTCTGCAAGTACAAACGGGTTACCACCATACATATTTAATGTATCAATAGATGCGTAGAATACTGAAGAATACTTCTTTGTTTTGATCGATAAATAAAAACTGATTTAATTGCATTTATTTATATATGATCTTATTGTTATTGTAAGATAACAGACATGAGTAATAAAAAAATTTCTGAAGCGTAACTACACATGGTTTATTGCTTTAGAAAAGGCGTTTCAAAATAAGTCATGTCTCGTAGCTTCCTTTTTCTTATTTTCCATCGTATAATTACTCATACATGCAACGATTTTATATTAAAAACAAATTTGGACTTTACCTCTTATTTTTCTGGGGGAACATTTAGTGATATTATATTTAATGGGCTTGTTTTGTATTTACCTTGAATGAAGTAAATATGTTTTGCATGCAAAGAATATATGAATAATCATGACGTATCATTACTAATTTTTTACCTTGCTACGTAAGCAACGTTTTTCTCATATCTACTCGTTAATCTTATTTATCAAAATAGTATACTAACATTAATTCATGGAATAAAGTAAAAGCAAATATTCCATTTTTATTTATTTTATGTAACGATTTAAAATAGAAAAATAAATGTATATTCTAATTTTTCAAATTCAAAGTTTATCTAATAAAATGAATATTAATTCAAAAATATGCACTGAGAAAAACGAAAATTGGCTTCATACTAATATAAAAAGAACAATCAATAAGATTTCATCATTTCATTTATAATCTAAGTACAAATACTTGAACAATCACTTTATCGAAAAAGCCAATTGTTGCAAAACTAACATATGATGATAACTGAGTTTTTTTTACTATAGTTGCTTCTTCCATTAATATTAATTTTCAATAATTGAAGAATAGTAGAAGTAAACGAAATGGTCAACTTGTTCATTCTAGCTGAAATTATGAACAACATAAATTGTTTAAAAGTTTTTATTTTTCTTAGTTTCATTGATTATAAAAAAAAAGCTCTGGAAGTGCATGTCATTTTATAATTCATTCAAATAAAAACAGTTTTGAATTTAAACTCCTACTAAACATCGCATACAAAGTTGTGTGAGAGTTGTGAATATGTTCAGAAGAAGTTTTAATTGAATGTCTTAGTTCAAATATCTGTTGTTCAAGTAAACGATTCTTTCAACATAATCATATCGATAGAAAACCTATGATAACAAATCGATTTGTCCATGCAAATGATACCAATAATAGAATACTATTGAGTTCAAAATTAAAGAATAAATCACTCATTGCAACAATGCACAAGTTTCAATTTATTCGAAAATTTTAATAATATTTAAATGGAACAAGATAAGGTTCTGTTCATCATCACATATAAATTATCAAGGCTTTTGTTGTTATTTGAACTAAAAATAAGAAAAAGTACAACCATTATATGATAGATAAATAAATAATATTAAAACCCAAGAAACTTACTATTTGAAAAAATAGTTAATAGTACAAAAAGAAAATGGAATGGATCAGTTCTGTTGTTCTTATATACGTAAATTGTGAATGCCTTTAAAACTTGAGTAACTCGGTTCAAGCTCGCTATCGACAGCTCATATGTTAAATTTGATAGTTTTGTATTCGTAGTGATAATTCACCCCGATCATGTTTAAAGCTATTAACTGAGATGACAAACAGTTCCATTCTTAGAACTAATGTACGACGTGAAAGAAAACTCTTTTTACCAAAAGATAGCGCTTTTTCTTCTCTTTCGAATGGTATATCATTTATTTTTATACTACGTCTGTAAATGAAACAGCATAATAAAAAAGAGAGACAGCCTTAAAAAATTGTGCACTTCTTTGTAGAAACGTCACATAAAACGTCGATATAAGAAATTTGCACCTCTTTTGAACGGCGTATGTTTTATATTTAATACATTTTTATAAATGAGATGAGACAAGAAAGAAGGAGAAACATGTTCACAGTGAATTTGCAATTTTTGTATGAACTCGTCAAAAAAAAACATCTTGTAAGTGTCAATTAATTATAATTAACTGCCATAAGGAAGATGATTGTAAAAATTTCGAAGAAGTGTAGGTAATTAGGCTTTCAAAGAGCTTTCTAAAGAATAGAAAAAAAACGACTCAATCATAGTCTATCAAGATACAGTTGACGATTTCATATTCAAAATTATAAATTGATTATGCGAGTGTTTCTCTTTCATTCTAGCCTCATTTCATTTATGAACATGTGTTAAATATGAATCACACACTGTTCGAAAGAGTAGAAAAGTTCCTATCAATTGGTACCAAAACTTTCTTTTTGAAACATGTTTATCAAAGAGTTATCCAAGTAACATAAAAGCCAATATTTTGTGTCGTTTTTTCACATTTTTATAAGGATGTCTCTCTTTTTTATTGTGCTGTTTCATTTATAGACGTAGTATAAAAATAAATAATATACCATTCGAAAGAGTAGAAAAAAGCGCTATCCTTTGGTGAAAAAAAGAGTTTTATTTCAGCCTCTTTCTATCGAAGTGAAATACTGATCAACATTTTGTGCCATTACTTTTGCAACACATGTTATATTACTTCTAAAATCTATCAAAGTATTCATTTCTACAAAGTCAACAACTATGCTCACGAGTTAGAGTTTAATATCAACCAGAGATTGTATTAATGTCATCAAAGATGTATTTAATTAGTTCATTTTCTTTTGATGAAAAATAAATTTTGTTTTGATCATGCATGTAATCAAAAGTGCTCATTTTTGGATAAATGATCCACTTGTTCCTGCTTCCTACCATAATAAAAACATATATTATCGGTATTTTTTGTGTTTCATTACACCACAATTCATGCAAACATCAAATCCAAAATAGGCAAGATGAAACATGATATTATTATAGACGACATGTTGAAAATACTCAACAAATTTTCAAATGTGATTTTATTCAAGACTACGTCTACACTTGTGATTGTTGAAAACTGTTTAGATGTTCTTTTTATGTTCTAACCGCACTCAGAGGCATTTATATTGTGAAAATGATTTTTATCCAAGGTCTGCTAATTACCTTCAATCGTCTTTCTATTTCATTCAGCATCTAAATGCAAAAAATGTTGTACTGAAGAGACATAACTAAAAATATAAACTTGAACAGAAACATTCGAAAGCTTTTTTCATCTAACGGGTGAATACATCATATCTGTTTATAATGTGAAACACACGTAGGGCAACGAAAACTGATCCGTTACATGTATGTAATTCATTCAAACTCCATGTAAGTTTTCCCAAATATAGACTATTGTATACAGCGTATCTGAAAATGATGAGAAAGTAATTTACGTACAAGAGAGAAAACAAAAAAAAAACATGCACTTCTGTGTAATTCATTTTTCATTTATTAAATTCTCACTTAAAAATCATCTGCCATGTTACGATCACAATATTCCAAAAAAATGTTTGAATATAATTGATGATTCTTAGAGTAAAAAAAGAATAAACTTTCCTTTACAATTACAAAATTTATTAAAGAAGAAAAAAATGAGATGAAATATAGAATACTTTACACAAGAAAATATTTTAACTCAGAATAAATCTGTAATATTTATACACGGCTTTTGATCACTGATTCAATTGTTTAAGTTTGACTATTATCACGTCAGGTAATTGTTCAGTGCAGTTGCCAGACAAGAATAAAATTATCGTCACAGAATATCAATGCTGAGTTATTTTGCATATGATATGGAGTAAGATTATTTTTTTTTAAACTTCATTTATAATGCAATTGATGAGATTCAGTTTGAAATGACGTCTAAACCCAAGAAACGTTTCATTTGAGCCATATCGAAACGGATATGTCCCCCACATTTCCAACATACATCAACTACGATTGAGACACGTTGTAATTAAACAAGTATTCATATGAAAATGACCTTAATCTCTTGTATAGAAAGCAAAAATAGAAAACTTTTCTTCTTGAGCTTTATTTACTTTCGAATGATGAATAGTATCCGTTTTTTCGTCATAAACTAATGATTTCATAGTGTATTGCAATCAACATTATCTTCATTTAGTTGAAAGATATCTGTCTGTAAATTTTCGTGTCGCTTTCTAGTTTACGTCGTTCTGAAAAATAAAATGACTTTTCATCTGTTACAAGAGTAATCTTTCTAACAATCTATTCGTATCGAAAATTGTTTTTCTAACTGTAATGATATTATTTCGAAGTCCAAGTTTAATCTGAACCATCATTATCTTTGATGAAGAATGTTTTTATTATGATGGAAAAAAAAATTAATGATTACTGCTCTTCTTAATATATATTATGTTTATGACAAAAAATTATTCGAAATAATGCAGTTCTAATACCATCTTCCGTATGAATAACCATATCCTGGATAACCATAACCATATCCAGGATAACCATAACCGCCGAATCGTTGTGCAAATGTTGGATTTGGATTTCCACCCATCATATTATCAAGATATGTGCCCCATGGACCTATAAGAAAAAAAGTCATTATGGAATATTGCTTATTTAATGGTATTTATTTCGTTTATTTATCATTGCTCATTCGAATAAAATCAAATACTATTAAGATTTATAATAAGAATTCAAATTTCATAACAGATAAAGATACGATCTTTGTCAAAACCATACTTTGAAAATGATAAACGAATCGATCAAAATTGTTTATTTATGTAGTGGCTATGGAAATTATTCAACAAGTATTCTTTTGAATCAGTTTCACTATCGAAATAGCAAAAACAAAGAAATCAAATAGTGATTTGAATAGAGAAAAACATATATGGTAAGCTAGGTCATCTCGACCAGAACGCATTCGGAAGTGTAACATCTTCTCAATAATCGAAATTTTCTTATTTTGATTAGCTAAATGATTACACAATCATCATATGATCGAGATTTAATTAACGAAAAGCGTAAAGTAACTGACAAGAATATTTAGTAGTACTGTATGGTCTAAATGAACGTTAAAGGGCTGTCTTGGTTTTTTTTTTTGTTTCGAAAACTTTCCTATGCCCATTACTTGTTGTTTCCTATGTGCTTGTTTCATATAATAATTTAAGTTGAACTACATCGTATACGAAAAAAGAATAAATGGGACCAACAGTTAGACTTTTGTTTATTTTAGAAACACATCATATCTTATAAGACAGATTTTTTTACACTCTCTCTCATATTTGGAAAGGTCGAGACAATCTTAATTATAGATATATTTTCGTATATTCTTGTTGTGAATCTTTTTCTCTATTCAAATCATCACTAAAGTTCTTTTTTTTTGCTACTAACATAGCAGAAAACAATTGAAACTAAGTCTGGTTGAATAATTCTGTTAACCACGAGACATATACATCTCTATCAATATATCATGAAATTGGGAAATAAATCATACTCTACTAATATTAACAATAACATTTTATGATGCTTACTGTTTAATCCACCGGGAATATTTCTTTCAATCCACATATCAGATGCCAATTCATTAAGCACATAGGGATTACCACCATACATATTTAATGTATTACTAAATGTGTAGAATACCAAAAAATATTTCTTTGCTGTGATGAATGCACGAAAACCCGATTTGATTGCATTTGTTTATATATGATCATATTGTTATTGTAAGAAAAGAGATATGAGTAATAAAAACATTTCTGAAGCATAACTACACATGATTTATTGAGGTAAGGAAGGGATTTACACTAGAGTCATGTCTCGCAACTCCCTTTTTCTTATTTTCGATAGTATAATTAATCATAGATGCAACGATGTTATTTTGAAAATAAATACGAATTGTATCTCTTATTTATGTATGGGATTATTTTCTGAAATAATATGCAATGGATTTGTTTTCTATTTCGCTTGAATGAGTAAATGCGTTTGAGCATGCAAAGAATATATGAATAATCATAACACGTCATTACTATGTTTTTACCTTTCCAGCTAAGCAATGTTTTTCTCTCATGTGCTCTTCAATCTTATTTACCAAACTAGTATATCCACATTAATTGATGAAATAAAGTAAAAGCAAGTGTTTCATATTTCTTTTAAAAACAATTTTTAATCTCATAAGATCATCATAGCCTAAAGCACTATTGAAACAAACAACAAACAACAATACACACTAATAAAAAGAATATTTAGTGAATATTATTTATTTTATGTGATGATTTCAAATAGAAAAATAAATATATATTCTAATTTTTCAAATTCAAAGTTTTTCTAATAAAATGAATATTAATTCAAAAACATGCACAAAGTACAACAAATAATGGCTTCATACTAATATAAAAAGAACAATCAATAAAATTTCATCATTTCATTTATAATCTAAGTACAAATACTTGAACAATCACTTTATCGAAAAAGCCAATTGTTGCAAAATTAGCATATGATGATAACTAAGTTTTTTTTTACTATATTTCGTTATTCCTTTAATATTAATTTTCAATCATTGAAGAATAGTAAAAGCAACCAAATTGATCAACTTGTTCATTCTATCGCGAATTATGAACAGCATAAATTGTTTAAAAGTTTTTTTTCTTGGTTTCATTGATTATTAAAAAAAAAAGAAACTCTGAAATTACACGTCATTTATAATTCATTCAAATAAAAACAGTTTTGGATTTAAACTCCTACTAAACATCGCATACAAAGTTGTGTGAGAGTTGTGTATATGTTCAGAAAAAGTTTTAATTGATTATCTTTGTTCAAGTAAACGATTCTTTCAACGTAATCATGTTGATAGAAAACCTATGATAACAAACCGATTTGTCCATGCAAATGATACCAATGATAAAATACTATTGAGTTCAGAATTAAAGAGTAAATCACTTATTACTACAATGTTTATACTAGGAGATGGATGAGATGAAAACGACTGTTTAGAAAGATTTTTTTGAAGCCATTTTCTTTTTAAATCATCTTGAACATCATATTCTCTCAATGATAACACAATGAAATCAAAGTGTTTTGTGTATACAAGTTGTTTGGGAAGAAGAATAATATATGCACTACGATTAAAACGTACTCTGAATGTAATACCCTTATGCATAATTCATTTTGAGATTTGAATGAATAATAATTTCGACTATTGCTAGAAGTTTCAGGTAAATAAAAATCTTCTAACGAATGTCTAGCAAGGATATCAACACGACTAAAAGGCAACTTTTCATTTTTCATTGCATTAATACCAAAATGATATTCTCTAATGTTCATGGTGTTAAATCTGATACTAAATTTGCCGTATACATTGCTACTAATGCCAAACTTAACATATAGAGACCTACACATGATTTCACCAGAAGAAATGATGCTTTTGTTTTTCAATACTCTCTTTTCTTGTTGTTCTAGTAGGCACAGCAAGATAGCAACATATATTGTACCAATCAGTAGTGCCAATCATAGACTAAGTGAAAACAGTCTTAGGTATGAAAAAAAGATTCTCATATACCAAAATAGCTTTTCAAATAATAATGCGTAATGAATTAGAAAATATTGAATTAGAAAAATCGATTATTTCTCATTGTGTAGTAGTAATAGTAATATTATCTACTATCAAATCATAAGTATCCATAACTAATTAAGTTGCTGATATTTTATTTGAAGAAATCAGTTCGTACTGTGAGTGGAAACGTTACTCTACCATACATATACAAAACAAAGAAAATAGTAATATCAGAGAGTAGCAACAGTATTTCATATACAATCTTGTACTTTTTATGCTAATAATTGATAATATCAAAATTCTATCAATACATACTGATTTAGCTCTAATCAAAAAAGTTGAGTTAATCAATTGTTGAAAAGTAAGATAAGATCATTTTGTATAGCCAAAAACCGATATCGACTGATTACCAAGGGGGAAACGACTGACTTCAGTGACTTTTAAATCATAAAAGTCAAAATAAAGTCACGAAAGTCATGAAAATCATAACTAATCCTTTTAGGCCGGATGTTTCCATTTTAAAACATTTTGTCCTATAGGGGTACGGCATTTTTGAAATAGCCGGCTGGAAGAGCTAAAGTAACATTAATAAAGAACAAAAAATAACGAATTTTTCTCAAGGGAGAAACAACTGACTTAAGTCACTTTAAAGTCCTGTTAAGTCAAGAAAGTCACGAAAAACATCTGTAAAGGATCATTAATAAAGAATAAAAAGCTGTGATTTTTTTTTAATCTCGATGACACATGCTCCAAATTTTTGTTTACTTTTTTTTCAAAGACATACGCATATAAAACAGACGAAACGAACAGATACATATATATTGCAGGCAAAGTTGGCATATCATTTTCATCAAAAGTCTATTGATCACGTCCAAATGCCTTTCTATTTCAACCACATCTAAATGCAAAAACTGTTGTACAGAAGAGACATGATTAAAAAAATACACTCAAACAGAAACATTTGAAAGTCTCTTTTCATCTAATGCACGAATACAAGTTTTTATAATGTGAAACATCCGTAGTGCAAGAAAAATTGACACGGTACATGTATGTAATTCATTCAAACTTCATCTAAGTTTTTCGAAATATGGACTATTGTATATAGCGTGCCTGAAAATGATGAGAAAGTAATTTATGTACAAGAGAGAAAACAACAAAAATATGCACTTCTGAATAGTTCACTTTTCATTTATTAAACTCAAACGTAAAATCATCTCCTATCTTACGATCACGATGTTCGAAAAAAAGTCTGTGAATATAATTTATGATTCTTAGAGTAAAGCAAAAGAATAAACTTTCCTTTACAATTACAAAATTGATTAAAGAAGAAAAAGATAAGATGAAGTATAGAATACTTTACACAAGAAAATATTTTGACTCAGAATAAATCTGTAATATATGTACACGGCTTTTGATCACTGATTCAATTGTTTAAGTTTGACTATTATCACTTCAGGTAATTGTTCAGTGCAGTTGCTCGACAAGAATAAAATTATCGTCACAGAATATCTATGCTGAGTTATTTTGCATATGATATGGAGTAAGATTATTTTTTTTAAACTTCATTTATAATGCAATCGATGAGATTCAATTTGAAATGGCGTCTAAACTCAAGAAAATTTTCGTTTGAGCCATATCGAGACGCGTGTAGCTTTCACGTTTTCAACATACATCAACTATGATTGAGACATGTTGTAATTAAACAACTATTCATATGAAAATGACTTTAATCTCTTGTATAAAAAGTAAAAATAGAAAACTTCTCTTCTTGTGCTTTATTTACTTTCGAATGATGAATAGCATCCATTTTTTTCATCATAAACTAAGGATTTCATAGTGTATTGCAATCAACATTATCTTCATTTAGTTGCAAGATATCTGTCTGTAAATTTTCATGTTGCTTTCTAGTTTACGTCGTTCTGAAAAATAAAATGACTTTTCATCTGTTACAAGAGTAATCTTTCTAACAATGTATTCTTATCGAAAATTATTTTTGTAACTGCAATGATATTATTTCGAAGTCCAAGTTTAATCTGAACAAGCATTAATTTTGATGAAGAATGTTTTTATTAGGATAAAAAAAATTAACGATTAATGCTGTTTTTAACATATATTATGTTTAGGAAAAAATAGTTCGGATTTATGCAGTTCTAATACCATCTTCCGTATGAAGAACCATATCCTGGATAACCACCGTAACCACCATAACCACCATAACCACCATAACCACCATAACCGCCAAATCGTTGTGCAAATGTGGGATTTGGATTTCCACCCATCATATTATCAACATATGAACCCCATGGACCTATAAGAAAAGAAGCCATGATGGAATATTCTTTTTTTCAATGAATGTTTTTCGTTTATTTATCACTGCTCATTCGAATAAAAAAAAATACTATTAAGATTTATCATAAAAATTCACTCTTCCTTACAGATAACGACATAATCTTTATCAAAACAATGCTTTGAAAACTATAAACGAATCAATCAAAACTATTTCTTTATGTAGTGGCTATGAAAATTATTCAACAAGGTTTATTTCGAATTAGTTTTGCTATTGAAATAGCACAAAAAGTATCTAAATAGTCATTCGAATAGAGAAAAGCATTTATTATAAGCAGGGTCGATCTAATCGAGAAGTGTTTGGGAGTTTGAAATTTCTTCAATAATCGAAATTTTCTTATTTTGATTAGTTAAATGATAACAAAATAAGCATATGATCGGGATTGAATACAATGAAACACGCAAAGTAACTGTTAAGAATATTTAGTAGTATTCTATGGTCTAAATAAACGTTAAAGAGCTGTCTTGACATTTTTTTTTGTTTCGAAAACTTTCGTCAACTCATTGCTTTTTTATTATACCTGCTGCTTTCATATAATAGTTTAAATTGAACTGCATTGTATACGAAACACAAGTAAATCGAATGAACACTTCGAATTTTATTTATTTTAGAAACGCACTGTATTTCAGATGACAGATTTTTAACACACCCCTCAAAGTTGGAAAGGTCGAGACAAACTTAATAATAAATATATTTTCGTATATTCTTTTTTGTGAATGTTTTTCTCTATTCGAATCATCACTAAAGTTCTTTTCTTGGGACCAACATAGCAGAAAAAAAGTGAAACTAAGTCTTATTGAATAATTCTGTTAACCACGGTACAAATACATATGTATAAATATGTAATGAAAGTGAGAAATAAATTATACTGTAATAATATTAGCAATAATATTTTACAATCCTTACTGTTTAATCCACCGGGAATATTTCGTTGAATCCACATATCAGATGCTAATTCATTAAACATATAGGGATTACCACCATACATATTTATTGTATTTCTAAATGTGTAGAATTCTGAAGAATATGGTTTTTTGTTGATGAATGAATAAACAACTGATTTGATTGCATTTATTTATATACTATCTTATTGTTATTGTAAGATAAGAGATATAAGTAATAATAAAATTTCTGAAGCGTAACTAAATGTGGTTTATCGAGCTAATGGAGTAGTATTAACAAAAGATATATCTCGAAGTTTCTTTTTCTTCTTAATTTCGATTGGTTTCGATATGCATAATTACTTATAAATGCGACGATGTTATTTTGAGAATAAAGTTGGACTTTATCTCTTATTTAACTATGGGACTATTCAGTGAAATAATGTTTAATGAGTCTATTTTGTATGTGGCTTGAATGAGTAAATATGTTTTGCATGCAAAGAATATATAAATAATTATGACGTGTCGTTTCTAATTTTTTACTTTGCTACGTAAGCAACGTTTTTCTTACATCTACTCGTTAATCTTATTTATCAAAATAGTATACTTACATTAATTCATGGAATAAAGTAAAAGCAAATAATCCATATTTATTTATTTTATGTAACGATTTAAAATACAAAAATAAATGAACACTATTAATTTTCAATTGAATTTTTTTTCTAATAAAACGAATGTTGATTCAAAAACATGTACAGATAAAAACAAACAAAGGCCTGATACTAATAGGAAAACAACAATCAATAAGATTTCATCATGTCATTTATAATCTAAATACAAATACATGAACAACCACTTTATCGGAAAAGCCTATTGTTGCAAAACTAACATATGATAATAACTGAGTTTTTTTTACTATATTTCGTTGTTCCTTTAATATTAATTTTCAATCATTGAAGAATAGTAGAAGCAAACAAAATGGTGAACTTTTTCGTTCTATCGCGAATTATGAACAAGATAAATTGTTTAAAAGTTTTTTTTTCTTGGTTTCATTGATTATTAAAAAAAAAGAAGCTCTGGAAGTGCATGTCATTTTATAATTCATTCAAATAAAAACATTTTGGAATTTAAAATCGTACTAAACATCGTATACCAAGTTGTGTGAGAGTTGTGTATATGTTCAGAAAAAGTTTTAATTGAATGTCTTTGTTCAAATAAACGATTCTTTCAACATAATCATATCGATAGAAAACCTATGATAACAAATCGATTTGTCCATGCAAATGATACCAATGATAAAATACTATTGAGTTCAAAATTAAAGAATAAATCACTCATTGCTACAATGTTTATATTAGGAGATGGATGAGATGAAAACGACTGTTTAGAAAGATTTTCTTGAAGCTATTTTCTTTTTAAATCATCTAGAACATCATATTCTCTCAATGATAACACAATGAAATCAAAGTGTTTTGTGTATTAAAAGTTGTTTGGGAATAGCAATAATATATGCACTACGATCAAAACCTACTCTGAATGTAATACTCTTTTGCATAATTGATTTTGAGATTTGAATGAATAATAATTTCGACAATTGCTAGAGGTTTCAGGTAAATAAAAATCTTCTAACGAATGTCTAGCAAGGATATCAACACGACTAAAAGGCAACTTTTCATTTTTCATTGCATTAATACCAAAAATGATATTCTCTAATGTTCATGGTGTTGAATCTGATGCTACATTTGTCGCATACATTGCTACTAATGCCAAACTTAACATATAGAGATCTACACTTATGATTTCACCAGAAGAAATGATGCTTTTGTTTTTCAATACTCTCTTTTCTTGTTGTTCCAGTAGACACAGCAAGATACCAACATATATTGTACCAATCAGTAGTGTCAATCATAGACTAAGTGAAAACAGTCTTAGGTATGAAAAAAGATCTTCATATACCGAAATATCTTTTCGAATAATAATGCGTAATGCATGATAAAATATTGAATTAGAAATATCGATTATTTCTCATTATGTAGTAGTAATAGTAACATCATCTACTATCAAATCATAAGCATCCATAACTAATTAAGTTGCTGATATTTTATTTGAAGACATCAATTCGTATTGTGAGTGGAAAGGGTTCACTAAAACAAATTTTCAAGTTGACATTTGCATACCCAGAAAAACCAATGGAAGATCTCAATGTATTAGTGGATAATACGAATAGACGGCTGAATATTTGCCATAACAAATAAGCACCATCTATTCTATTTGTCGCATTTGCACTATACTTTATTCTACTAGATACGCGAAAAAATTCCGTAATAATATGCGCATCGAAAACCAATTACCATTATGAAAAAGACAATCATAATAGAATGCTGTGTTGGCAATAGATATGCAGAAAAAGGAATTAGTGTCTTTTGGACTAAGCTCTTGTCAGGGTTGAATTGATGCCTTAACTGCATAGAATGTAAATAGTACATAATAATTGACCTTCATTGATCTGGCAAATGTTTCAGGTGCATATTTATGTTAAATATTAGAGGTTGCATTTGATAATGATAAATTAATTTATGCTCGGACAGCATATTCTATTAAGAATTCTGTAGAAAACATGCCGATTAAATTTGGATATGAAGTTTGATTTAAAAAATTCTAATGAAATCCTTGATCATAATACCCATGTCAACTTTGGTCCAAGAACATTACAATCAAGTGCATATTTAAAAACTAACGATGTATAATTATTTTCTACCCATAGTAATATCATTCGTGTTGAGCCCCTAGATAAAATATCTGTTAAGTGGCCCGAATAAGAAGTTTTGCAATATCGAATGACCTAATATTTGAACCTTCAACGAAACTGCCTTGGGGATCATGTCAAGTTTTTATTGTGATCTAAGTATACAGAAATACCAGTTCGAATAATCCGATGCTACAACCATCTGATTTAAATCAAAAGAAATTATCAACAAACCCAATTGTCAGATTTTATTAAATACATTGAATTCATCATCATCAAAAGTCTTCAATAAAATATTATACAAGAAGCATTTATCTTCTGAAAATAAAACCGATTTTTTCTAACTGAAGAAGCTCAACTAGCAATTTTTAACAAATAAATCATATCCAAATACAAAATTCATCATGAGGCATAATATACTAAGCGATTGCAGCAAAATTAAACGAGATTCTTAGGATTTTTATCTGACAATGAAATTGTTCCTCATGTTATTTAAATGAGATTATTCATTGGCGGGCCAAATTAGCATTTGCAACGCAAAACTATCAAATTTAAAATATGAGCTGCTAATAGCAGGTCGGAATCGAGTCATTCAAATTTTAAAGTACTGACAATTTACGCACAGTAAAATTTCTTGATATGAGCACCTTTTTATAATCAGCATCTTATTAAACTGGGTTATTGATAAACAATCATGACATACATATAAAGAATGGATGCCCTAATCATATATATACAAAACAAAGAAAATAATAATATTAGACAGTAGCAACAGTATTTTATATATAATCTCGTACTTTTTATGCGAATAATTGATAATATCAAAATTCTATCAATACATGTTGATTTAGCTCTAATCAAAAAAGTTGAGTTAATCAATTGTTGAAAAGTAAGACAAGATCATTTTCTAGAGCCGAAAACCGATATCGACTGATTACTCATACACTGTAAAAATATTGAAAAATTAGAGAGGCTCTACTGTATATAAGAATAATGGAACTTACCAAAGTCATTTTTTGTACGATTAACTCTTTTTTCAAGTAGTAAGTTCGTAGAATTTTAATTGCATTTATTTATAGATGGTTAGAATGCTGCACAAGTTTCAATTTATTCGAAAATTTCAGCGATATTTAAATGGAATAAGATAAGGTTCTGTTCATCATCACATATAAATTATCAAGGCTTTCGTTCTTATTTTAACTGAAAATAAGAAAACGTACAATCGTTATATGATAGATAAATAAATAATATTAAAACCCAAGAAACTTACTAGTTTAAAAAATAGTTAATAGTACAAAAATAAAATGAAGTGCAAAGGTTCTGTTGTTCTTATATGCGTAAATTGTGAATGCCTTAAAACTTGAGTAACTCGGTTCAAGCTCGCTATCGACAGCTCATATGTTAAATTTGATAGTTTTGTATTCGTAGTGATAATTCACCCCGATCATGTTTAAACCTATTAACTGAGATGATAAACAGTTCCATTCTTAGAACTATTTAACAAATGCTCAGCTACTTATTTTTTCTAACCGGTTTGTTTCAAGCGAGGAACACAAAAAAATGAGAATAATTCGTTCAATAGGATGTGATTATGAATGAAAAGAAAACTCACACTCATATCCCCACTATCACTCTCTATAATCAAGTACTATCTATTGTCAGAAATGTCTTTTCCACAGATATTTAAAGCTCTACCATTTCGAATAGAAACGAAAGAAGTTTTCTAATCATAAAAATATTACCGAACAAGTGAAAGAATGTAAATATCTCTTCATCCATTAAAATTTGATAGAGAAAGAGGCTTGTTCATCTGTAGAACTACTCTTTTGTGATATTGAACGTAGAAATGAAAGTCAGTTCTACATTTGTATCACTAAAAGGACGATATTAAAGGACTTTTCATATAGCTTTTTCTTTCTTCTGTGTTAGTTTTACATGTATACTCATAGAGATTGTGCGGTAGAATAGAGGTATAAAATCGTTCTTTGTCAATGTCTTTTATTTTCCACATCGGTTTTTTTGAACGAACTTTACTTATTGATATGATAGCATTGACTATGTCTAATGTTATAAGGCACATACCATGTCCTAAAAATCAGACATATTAATAATTAAGTTTAGGTTTTCTTAGAAACGTTTTGTACAAATGCGTTATTGATGAACAAATACTTGTTAAACAATCAATAATTATGTTAGTTCTAAAATCTATCAAAGTATTCACTTCTACAAAGCTAACAACCATGCTTACGAGTTGCAGTTCAATATCAACCAGCAATTGTATTAATGTTATCAAAGATGTATTTAATTAGTTCATTTTCTTTTGATGAAAAATAAATTTTGTTTTGATCATGCGTGCAATCAAAAGTGCTCATTTTTGGATAAATGATCCACTTGTTCCTGCTTCCTACCATAATAAAAACATATATCATCGGTATTTTTTGTGTTTCATTACACAACAATCCATGCAAACATCAAATCCAAAATAGGCGAATAAGAACCATGGTCTTGTTATAAACGACATGTAGAAGATGCTGAACAAATTTTCAAATGTGATTTTATTGAAGACTACGCTTACACTTGTGATTGTTGAAAACTGTTTAGATGTTCTTTTTATGTTCTAATCGCACTCAGAGGCATTTATATTCCGAAAATGATATTTATCCAAGGTCTGCTAATTACGTTCAATCGTCTTTCTATTTCAATCAGCGTCTAAATGCAAAAAATATTGTACTGAAGAGACATGATTAAAAAAATACACTCAAACAGAAACATTTGAAAGTCTCTTTTCATCAAATACGCGAATACAAATGTTTATAATGTAAAACATCCGTAGCGCAAGAAAAATCAAAGCGGCACATGTATGCAATTCATTCAAACTCCATCTAAGTTTTTCGAAATATGGACTATTGTATACAGCGTGCCTAACGACGATGAGAAAATAATTTATGTACAAGAGAAAACAACAAAAATATCCACTTCTGTATAGTTCACTTTTCATTTATCAAACTCTCACGTTAAATCATCTACTATCTGACGATCACGAATATATATTCTTAGAGTAAAACAAAAGAATAACCTTTCCTTTATAATTGCAAAATTTATTAAAGAAGAAAAAAATGAGATGAAGTATAGAATACTTTACACAAGAAAATATTTTGACGCAGAATAAATCTGTAATATATGTACACGACTTTTGATCACTGATCCAATTGTTTAAGTTTGACTATTATCACTTCAGGTAATTGTTCAGTGTAGTTGCCAGACTATAATAAAATTATCGTCACAGAATATCAATGCTGAGTTATTTTGCATATAATATGGAGTAAGATTATTTTTTTAAACTTCATTTATAATGCAATCGATGAGATTCGGTTTGAAATGGCGTCTAAACTCAAGAAACTTTTCGTTTAAGCTATATCGAGACGCGTGTAGCTTTCACGTTTTCAACATACATAAACTATGATTGAGACACGTTGTAATTAAACAAGTATTCATATGAAAATGACTTTAATCTCTTGTATAAAAAGCAAAAATAGAAAACTTCTCTTCTTGAGCTTTATTTACTTTTGAATGATGAATAGCATCCAGTTTTTTTTCGTCATAAACTAATGATTTCATAGTGTATTGCAATCAGCATTATCTTGATTTAGTCAAAAGATGTCTGATTGTAAATTGCCATAGATGCTCTGGTATATTATACATCATTATAAGAAATGAAATATCTTTGCATCTGTTACAAGAGTAATCTTTCTAACAATATATTCTTATCGAAAATTATTTTTGTAACTAGAATGATATTATTTCGAAGTCCAAGTTTAATCTGAACAAGCATTAATTTCGATGAAGAATGTTTTTATTATGATGAAAAAAAAATTAATGATTAATGCTCTTCTTAATATATATTATGTTTATGAAAAAAAAATAGTTCGAAATAATGCAGTTCTAATACCATCTTCCGTATGAATAACCATAACCGCTACCATAACCAGGATAACCACCATAACCACCATAACCGCCAAATCGTTGTGCAAATGTTGGATTTGGATTTCCACCCATCATATTATCAAGATATGAACCCCATCGACCTATAAGAAAAGAAGTTATTATGGAATATTCGTTTATTTCTCACTGCTCATTCGAATGAGAAAAAATATTATTAAGATTTATCATATTGAAAACTATAAACGGACCAATTAAAACTGTTTATTTATGTAGTGGCTATGAAAATTATTCAACAAGGTTTATTTCGAATTAGTTTTGCTATCGAAGTAGCACAAAAAGAATCTGCACAGTCGTTTGAATAGGGAAAGACATATATTATAAGCAGGATCGGCCCAATCGGGAAGTGTTTGAGAGTTTGAAATTTCCGCAATAATCGAAATTTTCTTATTTTGATTAGTTAAATGATTACAAAATAAGCATATGATCGGGATTGAAAACAATGAAACACGCAAAGTAACTGTCGCGCATATTTAGTAGTATTATATGATCTAAATGAACGTTGAAGAGCTGTCTTGATTGTTTTTTTTGTTTCGAAAACTTTCTTATACTCATTACTTTTTTATAATAGTTTAAGTTGAACTACATTGTATACGAAAACGAAGTAAATCGAATGAACACTTCGAATTTTATTTATTTTAGAAACGCACTGTATCTTGGATGACAGATTTTTCACACACCCCTCAAAGTTGGAAAGGTCGAGACAGCTCTGACTATAAGTATATTTTCGTATGTTCTTTTTTGTGAATATTTTTCTCTGTTCGAATCATCACTAAAGTTCTTGCAACTAATATAGCACAAAAAAAAGTGAAACTAAGTCTTGTTGAATTATTCTGTTAACCACGGTACCTATACATGTGTATAAATATGCTATGAAAGTGAGAAATCAATGGTGCTGTAATAATATTAGCAATAATATTTTACAATCCTTACTGTTTAATCCACCGGGAACATTTCTTTCAATCCACATATCAGATGCTAATTCTCTAAGAACATAGGGATTACCACCATACATATTTATTGTTTTATTAAATCTGTAAAATATTGAAGAATATGGTTTTGTTTTGATGAATGAATAAACAACTGATTTGATTGCATTTATTTATATACAATCTTATTGTTATTGTAAAATAAGAGATATAAGTAATAAAAAAATTTCTGAAGCGTAACTACGCATGATTTATTGCGTTAAGGATGGGGTTTTAACAAAAGATATGTCTCGAAGTTTCTTTTTTTCGTAATTTCGATATGCATAATTACTCATAAATGCGACGATATTATTTTGAGAATAAAGTTGGATTTTATCTCTTTTTTAACTACGGGACTATTCAGCGAAATAATATTTAACGAGTGTATTTTGTATTTGTCTTGAATGAGTAAATATGTTTTGCGTGAAAAGAATATATAAATAATTATGACGTGTCGTTTCTAATTTTTTACCTTGCTACGTAAGCAACGTTTTTCTTACATCTTCTCGTTAATCTTATTTATCAAAATAGTATACTTACATTAATTCATGGAATACAGTAAAAGCAAAATACTTCATATTTGTTTATTTTATGTAACGATTTAAAATAGAAAAATAAATGAACATTTTTAATTTTAAATTCAATTTTTTTCTAATAAAACGAATATTGATTCAAAAACATATACAGATAAAAACAGACAATGGCCTGATATTAATAGGAAAAGAAGAATCAATAAGATTTCATCATGTCATTTGTAATCTAAATACAAAAACTTGAATAATCATTTCATTGAAAAAGTCAATTGTGTAAAAACTAACATATGATGATAACCGAGTTGTTTTTTGTTTTTTACTATACTTGGTTTTTCGTTTAATATGAGTTTTCAATTATTGAAGAAGAGTAGAAACAAACAAAACGATCAACTTCTCCATTCTATCTTGAATTATGAACAATATTTAAGTGTTTCAAAATTACTTTTTTTTAACTCTGATTGACTAGAAAAAAAAGAGAAGCTCTGAAAGTGCAAGTTATTTTACAATTCATTCAAATAAAAATAGTTTGGGATTGAAAGTCTTACTAAACATCAAAAACAAAGTTGTGTGAGAATTATCCGTATGTTCAGAAAAAATTGTAATTGAATATCGTAGCTGAAATACTTTTTTTTATAAGAAAAGAGAATATTATAATATTATTCTTTTATTTGCATGGAGAACTGCTGCATTTAACTATTGAATGCTTAAATTACGTCAGAAGAAGATTGGTTGAAAATATTTCTAAAATAATATCTTAGTTATAATTGAATAAAATGAACTGAGGGTGTGGGTGTGGGTGTTTGTGCTGTGAACAGAAAACAAAAAATCGATAATGAACATTCAAGTATGAAATAGTAGAATGTATCAAAAAGATATGAAAACATAAGATAACAAAAAACTATAAGAAGTATTACGAAAAAATTTTAATGCATACAATTAAAAAACGATCAAAACTATGTTATAACAAATAAAAAGGACATGATTTTAGCAAAATGAATAAAAAAAATCATCACGCATGGGAATTACGTATTTAAATTGTTTAAAATTTATATACAGGGTGTGGGGAAAATCATCTACCAATTTTTTTTTTCATATATCTTAGCTGTTTCATTTAACAAATATCAACAAATATTTTTTCAACTTATTTAATATATATAATTAAAAACAAAGACACTCCATAATGTTCTACTCGCATCTCACAAAAATAGCAAAATTTTTGTATTTCGAGCAAAGATAATAGTTTTGCAGAATAGTATCGAAAGTCGCTCGTATAAATAACAACTTGGTATATTCACCTATCATTTAAAAAAAAATTATTAATAATGTTAAAGAAAACAGCTAAGATATATGAAAAACATTTTGGTAGATAATTTTCCGGACACTCTGTATAATCTTTTTATTTTTGGATAGTTATCAAATCTGTAAAATTGGTATCATGATGTTTTAATAGTATTAGTTTTTAATAGCTTATAACACGAGCCACATCTACATCCACATCTCAATGAGTTTGAATCTTAGTTGTTTTTCGGGTTTTCTGTCAATCTCTGATTAAACTGAATGAATCATCAGATCATTTATGGTTTGGTTATCATAGAAAGTTAATCTTTCTATACTTATAGTGCACTAGTTTATTGACATAATTCATAATCAATGAGATAAATTTGAAACGGTCAAATTTTGCCATTGACTTTGAGTATATAGCTACATATGAGTAGTAGTGATATCACAGAGGACAAATTTTCAAGCATATATATAATGTTCATGAAACAAAAATGTATAACAGAGAAATCTGTTCAGAATGCAGTTCTTATACAATAAACAATCCAGAATAAACTATAGAAGAAATAAATAAATCGAATATTGCAATTGAGATTATGAAAATATTTCACATTGTATCTTGAATAGAAAATTCAAATGATTCATTAGTATTTTTTTTGTCAGGAATATTAAAAACACAAAACAATACATATAAAAAAAAGCTGAACAACATCAATATTTTTGATATTTTGTTTTTAAAGCTCGACTAAAAATATCATTTCAAATGTAATCAAAGAAAAAATTTATTAATTTATCATTGTTATTTATGAAACAAATGTAGTTGAAGAAGAATTGGTATTAATAATGGTAAGACTAACATTATTAATTTATGTTGTAGTATTGACAACAGTTGAAGTACTGCTGGTAGCAGTAGTTGTTGGAGTGTTCGTAATTGTTGATGGTGATACAGGAGTAACAACTATTGCATTTACGACAGTACCTAGTGTATTAAAAACCAAATTGACAAGTACATTAGTTAATGATGATGAACCAGTTGGTGGTGTATAACTATATTGTTTAATAGTATATCCATTGGCTAAAGTTTGTGTAACACCAGTAAATGTCATATTTTTTAAATAATCACCAACAATAGAGGATGAAAGAATTTGTCCGTCAGGACCTAATACTTGATTAACAATGTTACCAACTAAAACAAAATTAAAAATTCAATATTTTATAATATATAAATCATCTATATATAGTTGTCTTACCCGTATCAATAATTTGATGAATAACGTGTCCATCTAGTGGAAATGTAGCAAGTAAATTATTAATTGTTTGAAAAACACCATTAATAAATGATAAAAGTAAAGGATTAAGATCAAGTGAAGCCATTGTTCGAGTAACAATTTTAGCAATATTATCAAGATATACAGCTAATTGAACTTGAGCTTTAACACCTACATAGGGAAAAATAAAATTCAATAAAAAATAATTTTTATATATCAATTTTACCTAAAATAGTTAAATTAACTTTATCAATTGATATATCAACACCAGCATTGAGAGAAACTAAACTAGCAACATTAGCTGAAAGGCTTACATGTGCTTTAAGATCTTCGACAATTAATGAAATTTCATCAACACTTAAATTAGGTACATTAAGCCAAACATCAGGTGGATTACTAATATTAAATGGTAAAGCAGTACAAACTGAATTTACATTATTTGGACATGTTGAATTACTTGTATCTGCTAATGTCAAATTAAAAATACAAATAATAGTTATCAAATAAAATTGAAAATAAATAGTGTACAGCTTGATTGAAGTCATGTATTTCTTTTCTTTGTTTTTTTTTGTGTAATATGAATGTGAACAGCAAACTTTTATCGATATAAGTGACTGCGTCTTCAATAATGTTTTCACCTTAATTGATGATCAAAGAGAGACGAAAGAGTACATATATTTGTTTATATTTTGATTAATGCATATAATTATCATGTATGCATGGTCACAAGTTATTTATATCTGTTATATCGTATCGATTAATATAAAAACAAAAGAGTAAAAAAAAAAACGCAAGAATAAAAAAATAGTGTTTTTGTTTAAAGAAGTTTATCGACTGTATTTTGAACACCTACGAGCGTGTTTACTAGTACAGAACTAAGATCGATTGATTCAAGTGTTCGATTGATTATCTCGACAATTTTATCAAGTTGTACAGCCAATTGAACTTTAGCATGAACACCTATATGATATAAAAGATAAATTTATAAAAAAAAAAAAAAAAAGTAAAGAAAATTTAACTTTTTATTCTTCTTACCAAGAATGTTTAATTGAACACTTGATATACCAACTGAAACACCAGCATTAATATTAACGAGTGATGCAACTCGAACATCAAGATTTAAACGAGCTTGAATATTATCTACATGTAATACAATTGTTGGTACCATTATTTTTGCATCAAGCCATACATCAGGTGGATTATTCATAGTAAAAGGAAGTTCTTGTGTACAAATAGATACACTTCCTGTACAATTATCTGTTGATGTTGTTTGATAATTTGTATAACCATTTGTAGAAGTATTGTCAACTAAATGAAATTCAAAATGTCAATTTTTCTTTTGAAAATAAACAGAAACTGACTTGCTTGACCAGTTATAGATACTACTAATACTAAGATACTTAAAAATAGCATGTTAGAGATAGTTTGATTAAGTGTTTTTTTGCGTTTATCTCTATTATACAAAATTCAAATTGATAATCTGATCAAGCGTAACATACATGTATCTTTCTTTCTTTTCATTTTATTTTTATGACAAAATACAAGGACGAGATACCTGTAACAAACGTGTGTACGTTATTATTCAATAAATAAAATTTGCATTGTATATATCAAGAATACTTTATTTCTTACGATTAATAAATTATATTCTATAAGATATTTGAAATTCTTGTTATTATTTCTATGTGATAGTCATATATATCGAAATTGATTGAAGATAAAGAGCATGATAAGAAATCATCATCAATCTTGAAGTGTCGAATTAGGCTATACAATAATTGAATGAGTTTATTTTCGAGACGAGAAATCAAATCTATAGAAAGTTATTTTTTTTAGTGCCAAGACAGATTTTATTTTAGTTGTGTTGAAAAATAAACATCAAAGATCAATTGAAATAATTCAATTTTAAAAATAAGTCAGTTTAATTCTTTGTATTCAAATTTCTAACATTGGATATTCCGTAAATTGACTGTGCACGTTCATGTTAACCTATTTTTTTTATTAGTAATAATGGTTTTTCCAAGTTTTACATTTTAATCACATAGATATTATGCTAACAACTTGTCTTATCTATGCTGTGAATAAGTATTTTGAATGTATCATAAATGTGATACTTTTATTAAGTTATTATAATTATCATTTGTTAATAATTTTCTAATACAATATCAAAATTTATTGAAACAAAACCTACAAAAGTTCTTAAATATTCGTTATTGGGTTTAATCAACTCTCGTGAACTTTTTTATGATATTTTTAATTTATAAAATCGTTTGCTTTCATTGCTTTCATTCTGAATAAAAGAATGATTATATAAAATAATGAGACACGATGTTTACATTGTTAAAAGCGCTTGGTTTTGTGTAACTTTATTATGGTTGAATTCAGAAAAAAGATAGTACATTTGAGAAAAAAATGAGCTTATTCTTGCTTTTATATCAAATTGAACTCGATGATTTTGGGAGACTCAATACAACTTCTCCAATGCCAATATAATATATTACTTGCAGAATACCAAACAGAGGTGCTATTACCATAACTCGAAGAAGTGATCTCTTCATAAAAGCTTGTCATTTTTCTGTTTGATGTAATTTTCTAAATAATAACAGAAAAGAAGATTTCAATCAGAAACTCTGTCCTACACACTTTGCACAATCGATCATACCCGACTAACGATTTGTGTTGTCTTTTGATTGAATGCGAGTTTTTACCACTGAAATGAAACAACGAATAGAAGTTAGTTCAAGAGTGAAGAATTAATTACATATAATTGCGTACCATCAAATGGTGTTGCCAAATATCCAGCAACAGCACTAGCAACAATACCAGAAATAAATGTATAGTAGAATGGTATTTGATTATTTTCTGAAGATCGACGTTGGTTGTTTAAATATGAAAACAATGGAAAATAAATTACAGAAAAGAAAACATCAAGATTCCAAGTGGCACTTGCACTCTTATAGAGATCACGGAACCCCTGTTGACGAATAGCTTCCATGATATGTTGTCGAGCACTAGTAATTTTAACACTGATATCTATCACAAAGAAATCAAATATCAATTAATATGCTTGAAAATTAATTTCAAATATGACTTCACCACCATCAGTTGACGTTTTTTTTCTGATTATAAGTAATTCCATTGAAACTGTTGCAATAATTTGACAAGTACCTGCACCTGCTCCAGCTAACATCTGCAGATATAACGACAAATTTTCGTTCCTTTCAAGAATAAAAAATGTGTTATAAATAACATTTGAAATAGAGCATTCACAGTCAAGCCTATAAATTGGTACTATATTTAAACTAAATGTCTTAATAATAATAGACAACTAACCATTATATATGCCACGAAAACCATGACATTGAAATATTTTCGTAACACAATTCAACCTAAAATATGATTTTTTATGATTGAAGATTATAATGAGTATTCAAAACTAATACATTCTTGTAGACAGGCTTCTTTCCATCAATAATTGGCTGATTTTGTACTGTAAACTTGACTAAATTCAGAGGTTACACACAACAGATTCCGGTGAGGCCCGCGCTGCTAGCATTAATGATTTGTGCTTTGAGTCTGTCGAAAAAAAAAACGTACTCGTCATGTCATTAGTGCAAAAACTCATCTCTTACTTAAATTCATGATCTGTTTTTGATGGCATCGAGCTCGCAGAATGAATCTTTTCCACTAAAAGATATGCTCTATATTATGTAGTTTTAGCTATTCTTGCCTCGCCTAATTGCAACAATAGTGATTGAAACACAAAATATGAAGTCACAATGCATCAAGTAAATACTGCCACTTCCTAAAAATCACCGAAATGTTGTGTAACAAAAAATGAAAACCAAAAAAATAAAAATTTCAGTAATGTTAATCCAATTTTTTCATGATGTCGACGCTGATTTGTTTTCTCACACTCAATGTTGGCAATTTTTTAAAGAGAAAGAGAAGACATTCAGTGAAATAAAATTTCAGCAGCGAACAAAACTTTTGCGAAATACTGCTATTCGAGCATTTTTTGCCACATTAATTATCGTAATATTTTTTTCTTACAATAAAACTGAAACAAAAAAAAAGCGTAAAATGGAAAGTTTCATCAAGGAATTGGAATAAAAAGTGTTTGAAGAAAAAACTCAACAATCATTTTTATTGTTGTAGATGATAAACGACATTTATATATATGTTTATATGTAACATGAACAAGCAAATCATTAGAAAAGAAGATATACAATAGTGAAATCGCAATATATCTGATAGTGATATATTGTAATAAACATTTTCATCTCATCCTATATTTTATCTAAGTACAGTTTATTTTGTTTAGTTAATTCAACGGTTAGCTATCGCTAAAGTTCATTGTAAAAAAACAAATGTAAGTTTTTATTGAAAAATTTCTGTTAAATATGATTTCTTTTTCATATTGAAGTTCTATTAAAAGAAATTAGGTTAACTTTATAATTGCTTAAGATGTATTGAAATAGGACTTTTTTAGTTATTTACAATTTTGAAATATAATTTATTGTTGTCTATGTAAATGGAAAATTATTAATCATTTTTATAGATTATCAATGACATCTCGATTTCAATTTCTTGATATGCTATTACATTTACATAAAAACAAATTCGAACATCCAAGAGAACAATTGATCATTTTGGTTCATTGAACTTTTTTAAGTAGAGATTTCATAATTTTGAAGGACAATGAAGTAAGAAACAGAATTGTTTTTAAGTTGATTAACTTTTTCATTTAGTATAATGAAATAATGGATGGGATAAAAAGTGGAAAAAAAGTCAATCGATATTAGTCAATTTTGACATAGTTTGATCACATACGAAGTAAGAAAGATTTTGATTTTTCTCTGAGTTAACTTTTTGTTTTAGTTTAAAAAAATTATGGATTGAAGAAAAAGTGAAAAAAAATTCAATAGATGTTGATTATTGTCGAGAGAATTTAATTATACATGTTGAACAATTTTTTGATAATGAAAATTTTATTATTCAATTGAAGACAGTAAGTATCAATCATTACGCATTACGTTGAATTTTTTTTCTTTTATTATCTAGGATGAAAATAATCAATTACTTTTTCAAATGTCAGTAAATGATTATATTAATGAAAAAGATGGGTAAGTTCAAAAAATCTTATCATATGGATTTTATTTATGAACTTACACGACGAAAAAGACAGATGGAAGGAAAACAATTCGAACAAAAAATAAAAGCAATATTAATCAATCAAGAAAAGTAAGAGTAACAAATATCAATATTTTATTGTTTTCTTTTAGAAATCATAGTCAATTAAACATTTCATTATGATTGTCATAGAATAAATATTATTTTTAATTTAAAAAAAAAACTGAAATCATTAATTTATGGTTAGTCATTTCTATCTTTAGATGTAAATGAATACATTAAATAAACGTTATTATGAGTTAAAATAGATTATGTAAATTAAATTTATTTTAAATAAAATTCAAATAAATATTCAATTTGGTTTAGAAAAGTGAATAATAATAAGATTTTAACATTGTTTTTCGAATAAGCATAATTCGATCAACTTTTTACTTATTGGAAGAGATTTTTAAAAGATTTGTATTTAAATTTTCAACGGAAAAGCTCGTGTTTTTATTTGTCTCAATTTGTAGAATAATTGTTTTAAGAAATGTCATAAAAGATTTGACTAATGATGATATATTGCAAACTCATTTGTTTTACTATATGTTTGCATCTTTTAATTAAAAGTGTTTCGCTTTAACTTCATTTTATCTGAAATTGTCGTTCAAATAGAAGGGATTTTTTCTACATTAGCTTGTGTGAGCTATTATTGATGAACACAATAGTTGAAAATGCAATTTGCAAGTGTCTTTTTGCTAATATATTTTTAGCACATATAACTTTACATTACGAAAAGGAAAGGATAAAAGAGGTTCGGACATGTTATTTGACATTTTTCTTTTATTGTCGTTTATTCCTAGTGGCGTAACCAGAAAAAAAATTATGGGGTGGGGCAATGCCTCTTCAAGCATTTTACGTAGTGAACGAAAAATTTATCATGCAATCAGAAGTGTTCAAAGTTAGCCAAGATTGGAAAGCGGAAGGAGGGGAGGGGAAGGTGGGTACAAGTTTTTGCATGAAGATAAATGTTTTTGTAGCCTATAGTGAAGGAAAATCTTGTTGTTTCCGACTGATTGTTATGCAACGATGTTCGTGTCGGAAAAAATTCACAAAATCGTTCAAAAGTCAGGATCATTTTTCGCGAAACGAAAAATTTTTGCACGCTCAAGACAGAATTTCTATTTTCTCTAATAAGACTTTTTCGAGAAAAATGTATTCTCGGATAAAATTCACAAATTTCTCAGTACTATTGCCGCCGAAGGCGATCACACTGTCGATTCTTATTAAAAATAAAGCTTTTCAGATAGAATAAATCCCTTCGCTACTGCTTTAGAAAAGTCTTCTAGTTAAAGATGTGCAAACTCGTTATTTATCGGCCTTAAATCCGAAGAAAGGTCAGTATTTTTTTTAACATAAAAATCTTGGAAAATTCGAAACACTAAAGATATACATTTTGCAGAGTTGATGAATTTATTGTTGAATATTTATAAGAAAAATAGAGCTTGCTGAAGTTCCAAATTGAATTTTTCTTGAAAAAAAAAATGACTATTTTTACAGGATCAAAGTTCCTGAGCAAGCTCTAGTTTCACTCCTATAAAACTTAAAAATTCATCTCACATATTTCTGTTAATGCAGAATACCTTTATTTGATTTCAGTGGGAGAAAAAAACGGCATTTACATATAGTCTAATTCATTACGACCCACCCGTTATAACTCGATATATTTCAATTAAAAAAGTACTCTTAATAAATTCAGCTCAATGATCACATATTTGTGTGTATATTTGAAATCTAAGTTGTGATAGACTGGAGAATAACAAAATTACGCTGTAAATAGACCCGCTTGAGCAGAACATATATCACACTATCATATTCATCGGTGATTTAATTAAATCTTGCTGTTATAAGACTATAGATTCTTCCTATTGTTATCTTCTAGGCGTATAATCCGCTAAAATAAGTTATAATGAAAGGTCGAACAAGAAAAAAAAGTGGCTAGAGACTTCTAATTTTCGGATTTTATTGATTCGTTTTTTTTAAGTGGATAATTTAAACTTTTAAAGTTGAGTAATATATTCTTTTCTCATTTGTCGCAGGTTTACAACAAATCCTTCAAGTGCTTTCAATAGTTTTCCACTTTCGAATGTCACCCGTTTGGTTGCATCTGCCCAATCAACTTCAATCCATTCTATTCCACCATCAGCACAACCAGGACATCCAATTCTATTAGGCAATGCTGTGAATGCCTCCAAGTCAAGAAGAGAGACAAGTTGTTCCCATTGAGTCGATGAAAATGGAAATTGTCGTTGAACTGGAGGATATGATTCCTGTGGAAAGTTTGGTTGTTTTGATGCGACTAATTCAGGTGGAGATGATGTTATATTGATCGATTGTTGACAATAACCACGACACATTCCGAATGAAAGACCACTGGAGATCGATCGAACATTCTTTGTCACAAACTGACCATAGACTACTGTGAGAAGTGAAACAATGAAAAGATATTGCCACGAAATTTGCATAGTTTGGGTTTTGTAAAGTAACTTTATTTAATCTAAAACACCTGACAAATATTCACTTACGAGAAAAAAAATGATTCTACCACACAAATATGTAATTTATATACGCGATTGATAACGATTCTAGGATACCTCAAAAGAAAATATAAATGAATCCATTGCAAAAAAAAAATATTTTCTTTTCTGCAGGTCTTATCTTTTATTCTATCCGATTAAATGATTGGACAATAGCATGTTATACTCAAAGAGTCGTAAAGCACTATATCTCTTTACTCAAGTTTCAAATCATATGTGAAATGAAATAAGAGTGTCTGTTGTAGTAGTGACAATCAATATAGGACATTGTTGACTTTATTGTTGAAAAACAACAAGATCATTTTTATATTTTTTATTTCTGTGTAAATGAATATATCATGTATATTTTGAATGATGAATAAGTATCAGCAATCTATATTATCGTCAGGTGAAGAATGATATATGAAAATTTAATTTTCACATTCTGAGAATGGAGCTAATATATGACTCCAAAGATGGAGTGCAGCATTCAACAGTTTTTGAGCGTGGCGAAACGTAGACTGTGAGCCTATTTGACTTGCACAGGAAATACTTTTTAATACTACATATTTCAAATGCTTCTAATTGTTTCATCATTTTAGGATCCTCATAGATAACTTGACCATCAATTATGACGTGTATAATATTTCTGGGTGTTGAATGAGTAGCAGTCTAAAATGAATTGAACTTGAATTGATTATTATTCAATTATAGCACGAGTATATCCGATAAATATCCTTTTAATAAGCCTAAGCGCTTATTAATATGGACTAGTTTAGCCGGATTAATAATAGCCACTTTAAATGACGAACGATCATCGAAAAGTGCACATTTTAGGATGTGTGTGTGTGGTTGTTAGTGTGGGTATGTATGTAGGAGAAGAGATACACTTCCACACACATTCACTCACACCCACCCTCTCATATAAAAAAATAACTTCTTTAACCTTTTCATAAGGAAATAATATAATGACGACATTACTTTTGGATTGCTCTAAGTAGTTATGTTTTATGCAAAAACAGTTCTTGTCGAAATTTTATTATTATGGTAGCAGTTGAATAGCGATCAAATAGCATAGAAAAATAGAGCTTCGTTTTCTCTATCATCTCATATAAAAAAATTTCAACAAGCCTATTATAAGAAAATGAGGTGTCTGGGTCACTACTTCTGGAGTGCCCTAAGTATATTTGGCAAAGTAACACTTCGTTTCAGGTTTGTTTATCGCAAGAAAAGTCATGACACCGTTGGTCTTTGTTCATTGACTATTTACGCTCTATTTTGGTTTGTTTATCATTATTATGGGATTTCTGGATAGTATCTGTGAGCTTTTCGTTTGGGGATGTGTCAAATGGCCTCAACCTCCGTAATTTCACGTAGGTTAAATGATGGTTTTTTAGGATCCTAGCCTATTTCCTATTCCTTGACCACTGGCTACGACAATGCCTTGTTTTGTACCTTCTTCCCATCTCATTACACGATGATTTTTATAATCAGACACATAAACTAAATGATCTCGATCAACAGATACGTAGCGGGGACCAGAGAGTTGATCGAGACGATTTCCTTGTCCATTGTCACCGGCAACTACTGTTTCTTGAGTGTCACCAATTTTATATCGTCTCACTTCATATTTTTCATCATGAACGACATAGAGAAATCCATTATCGTCCATTGTCAAACCGAATGAAGAGATATTTGAAATAATTACTTCTCCGCGAGTACCATTGTGACGAGGCCATCGCACTACTCTTTTATTCCTGTAATCGGAGATGATAAGACTATCGCTTTCTTTGTCAATAATCACATCTATTGGACCATTTAATTGATGAGCTTCATTTACACTAGCAACCACTGTCCCATTCGTTGCACCAGGTTTCCATTCCACAATACGTTGATTACTATGATCAGCGACATAAATCGTTTGATCATCGTCGACGTACAAACTCCACGGGTTCCAGAGTTGATTTGTTCCCTTCATATCCATTCCCTCCAGCAACAGTGATACCATTCTTTTACCATCTTGCATTCGGATGAATATCAGTGAAACTTGCACGTAGCGGCACTAAAATGAAACAAAAGTACAGAGTAGAAATAAACATTGATTTCATTGGAAATGATATTGTAAATCAAATTATTTTTAGTTAGATCTAAGTTTTTCAACACATTCAGTGAAATTTTATAATTGTGCTTTAGTTTTATTGTGAGTCAGTGGTGATAATTACTCAATTTAAAAAAAAAATATCGATCAACATGCTTATGAAATTCAAACATGAGAAAAATCTAGTGAATACGTTTTTTTTTGTTTGTCTTGATTAAATGTGTTAGAGCTAAACTAAATAATAATCAACACATTCACAATAAATAGCATATGGGAAGTTAACGCAAGTACATCATAAATATACATCCTGGTGTGAGAAATTTGTAGTTTATGCTAATGAGTACATGTAAAAATAACTCGAAGAAAATATCTGATTTCTTCATATCTGTGGAAAAAACACATCTCGTTCACTTAAAAGATAATAATTTAATTGTGTAAAAGAAAATTTTTTGATCGAAAACCTTATCTAACAAATAGATATATAGCGATAAATGCTTCCCAAGATACAGGCATTTCTTTTCTAATTTTTATTTTAATTGATTTTGAGCTTTACAGAAATTTGAAGTAAAGTCAAATTTGATCCTAATCACATTTGAAGATAAAGAAGATTTATAAATTACATAAAACAATAATTCGAAATTCACAGTAGGCAATTAGTCTGACATTATTCTTTTTAAACTCGTGAAAAACGAAAAGCAATCTAAATTAATTATAGTTTCTTTAATGTAAATGATTAAATAAATCAAGTTTTTCTCTATATTATGAATAAAATTAGTTACAATTGTAATTGATCTCATTAAAATACAATCTAAGGATATAGTTAGTGTCGATTTTATCATAAAAATACAATAAACCACCGCTCGTTCGATTTAGTGCACGTTGATCCACTCAAAGATATTTAAAAATCCTTATGTTTATATAGAGATGCTTTAGAAAAAAAGTTGAGTATTTGATTGAGCATATTTAATTGGTTTTCATCACTGTAGTTTTTCATTTAAGATTTAAATTTTCTCGTAATACAAATCAATAAAATATATATGAAGAAGAGCTATGTATTTTTATGTTCATCACTACGGGCGTATCTATGTATAAAGAGAAGAATTCGTTTGCAGCTGTTAGACTAATATTTCAACCACACTACGACTATATACAGATAATTATATTTTCATTATCATTTTCATGTGAGGTCAGTAGAACATTGTTCTCTTTCCTTTCTATAATCATGTTCTATTTACTCGTTTTATCTGAGTTTTTTCTTTTAAATAAATTACTTGTTCAAAATAATACTGATAATCAGATCTTCTAATTAAATTTTCTATTGACGAACAATATATAATACAAATTGAGGTGCCATTCCTAAATTACAGTAGTGCACTACAAAATAAGATCTAGTTCATATCGTTCTGAATTCTATGTGTGATATATACTTAGGGGTATCCAAAAGTAGTGGCAACGACATTTTATTATCATATTTTAGGGTCGATAAAAAATTCTTTTTACATAGGATGATAGAGCGGAAAATGCTCTTTCTTTCTATGCTATTTGATCCTACTTCGCTTGACATCATAATAACAAAATTTTAATAATTGTCGATTTCCAAAGAGGCAGATCCGATTTATCTTTTCCATAAATAGCAAGATATCCGTCAGATTGCATTGTCAAGCAAAATTGTTCGTTAGAAGATACGAGATATTGACCAGTATGAAGTTCTTGCCCTTGGTCGAGAACGGACATGCCTTCTTTTCCTTCGCTGAAGCGTCGAATGGTCGTGTGTGACGTCCACAAGATCTTATTATCTTGATTACGAATATAAAAGTTTCCACCATCGTCCATATCCAAGTGGAAGAGACCGGCGAGATCCGGTTCGTAGGTGCCGGTACACGAAATTGGCTTTCCTTTCCTATCATAAACAACAGCATTATTATCCTCTTGCATCTTGAATGTGAACGGACCTTCCACATCCAACACTTTCGAATTGATGGTCGATCTCCATACACGTGGCTTAACCCTTTCGAGGCGATGTCGCCCACCGGTGGGCGACGCTATAATTTACAGTGGTCAGTCATTCATAAAAACAAAAAGTTCTTGGAAAATGTCTTCGTCTATCTGACTTTGTGGAGCTATCTGCGCTGATCATTTTGATAAAAAAATATTCTAAGTTTGACCAATAAATGACGGTGCTATGGTCAAAACACTGAAAATTTTCAAGCTGCTCTATGTGCTAGAGCTATAACGTTTTTCAGTATTTTAATCATAGCATCGTCAATTATTGGTAAAATTTAGAATATTTTTTTATCAAAATGATCAGCGCAGATAGCTCCACAAAGTCTGATAGACGAAGACATTTTCTGAGAACTTTTTGTTTTTATGGATGACTACCCATGGAAGCACACTACTTACATCCCTAACATTTTTGGAGCTGCTCGTGATTCTATAGCTTATTATCACCCTATGAATTATCAGTTATACTCTTAAATCCTGTTTTTAACGGGCTTTCATTTGATATAAAAATCACTTGTATACCTCTTTGCGTTTAAGCTGTAATCTTTGCAAAAACATTTTTGGAAGCCCTGTAGAATCACATTACCTCGAAAGGGTTAAATGAGTTATCTGTTTCGTAAATAGCAAGGTGGCCATCAGCCTGCATTGTCAGGTAAAATTTTCCGTTAGGTGATACAAGATGTTGACCAACATGAAGTTCTGCTCCATTTACTAGACTTGATTGACCGTGCGAACTCATTTTTTGATCATAGAATAAGAGGAGAGACAGAGACGAAGCAAGACACACACTGTGCAGTCAATAGTGCGTATGTTTGAAAGATAAAAAATAAACAACCCGACTGTCAACGTGGTCACGCAATGATATAATCGCCCATGGCTTGCATCCTTTCTACAAGGGAAGAGAAAATGAGGTAAGCAAAGCATAGTAATCAGCTGTGACATACACCGAGGGTGTGGGTGTGGGTGGGTGTGGATATGGGTGTAGGTGTGGGATGTGGGTGTGAGTGTGGGTGTAGGTGTGGGTGTGGGTATGGGTGTGGATGTGGGTGGGTGTGTTGGTGGGTGTGGATGTGGGATGTGGGTGTGGGCGTGTGTGGGTGTGGGATGTGGGTGTGGGTGTGGATAAAGTGAAGGCCAACATCCGCATCACACACCCACACAAACACACTCACACTCACGCCAACACCCACACGCACATACTCACACCCCACACCCACACCTACACTCACACCCCGCTTTTTGAAGGATTTTTTTACAGCATACTTTGATTCAAAGAAGTTATTATTAAACAAATAGGGGACAATTGATGCATGTATTTACCGAAACGGTTTAATATTCAACAAGGAGGGGTAGATTAATATGTGGTTTCAGGAAAGCGATTCTTAGTCCACAGGTAAGGGTAGATCATTCTCTGTTTTCAGAGAAAGAGTTTATTACAATACCTTTAAGAGTAGATTAATATAGGGTGTAACCAAATAGCTACATTCTTCTACGAACGAGAGTAAATTGATGCACAGGGTGGGAAATAATATTATTCAAGGGGGATACCGCTATAATTTCAAATAGAAGATATGATGAATGTTATACCAAATGAAAGCCCGTGAAAAATGGGGTTTATTGGTACTAAATGATGAGGGTTATGAAAACCTTTTAATGTCGTGCTTAATAAATTTTCAGAAATTTTATACTTTTTTTGGGGTAGAAAAGTAAGGTGCCAGTAATTCAAAAACGGAATAAAATGTTTTTCTTGGATATTTTTACA